CCTTGCCTAGCACCTGAGGTGAACCACAGAGCTCTCACCTCATCGCCAAAAGCAGGCACAAACTGCCCTTGTAAGACAGATTCTGCTCTTCCGTTACGGAGTTCCTGTCTTCCTCGTTCTTTTACTTACCAAACCCCAACCCGAGAAGCCGGAGGCTGTGCAATATCAGCTTGGCTGACAATTCATGAGGCTTCAAGCTCAGAGGACGCCCCGGCCGGGACCGAATCGCAGCCCTAACCCCACCACAACTCGCCCTTCCGCCCGCGCACTCCGGGGACTCGGCTCCCGGGAGCACCCAGGTTCGACCCGGAGCACCAGAGGGGCAGGTGAAAGCAGCAGCTCTGCACCTCCACAAGCTCCCGCCGCCTAGCTTCAGTGGCGGCGGGGAGCCGGAAGTGACGGAGAGGAAGTCCCGCCTCACTCATAGGGCGGTCCAGCAAGATGGCGGCGCCCAGGAGCCGGTGAGAGGACGCGGGGTTCCCGGGGACAGCTGCACCGGTGCGTTATGGCTGCGTCCCCGCACACCCTTTCCTCGCGCCTCCTCACAGGTATTGTACCCCACCGGGCACGGTCGTGGGAGAATTCTTTCCTATTGGCCACGCGCGAGACCGTGGTTCCGGCTGGCTGCAACCTTGTAAGCCCTTGGCTTGTCACCTGCCGGGGAGGTGACCTGAAGGGACGAGGCCACGGAGATGTGGGCCAGTTTTGTACCGTAGGCTAGGTGGTTCGTAACGATGGGGGTCTCGTGCTTCTTCGGGGTGTCGGACAGTGCAAGCTGGAGGGCCGGGTAAACCCGGGGGTCTCCCCAAGCCTCTCGGGCACGTGAGAGCCGCGGTTCCTAGCCACTGCCTTCTAATGACAAGAGACGCCCCTGCCCCCATTAAGGAGCTGCCTTCCAGCTTGAAGTGTCACGGTGATAACCATAATAATGATAACTGCAGACTGGATCCCACTGAGACTTAGCTCTGTACCATCAGTATGGCTCTTTCCGTTAAAAGGACTTTTGACAAATGTTTATGTATCACACATTCTTGAACAGGTCTCATGTCTTAACCTTTCCAGAGAGGCCAACCTCTGCACTCTACCTAAACTAGGAGCCTTCATCCTTCTATTCTCATATCACATTAATTTATCATGGTTAGCACATGCTGTAATGGTTCACACATGCAATACAGATGTACAACACTTTAGTATGTTTCTCCTAATTAGATGCATACTTCGTGAAGGTAGAGATTGCCTGTCTCTCTAGTTCACCATTGTATCCCTCGTGTCCAGTCCAGAACAGTTCCTGTGTACATCAACAATAGTCATTTCTGAATGAATGAGATTGTTCTGGTAGAAATATTAGGAGGAGATTGGTTTTGTTGCTGGTATCCGTGGATGATGGCCAGTTGGTCCATATTAGAGAAAATATAGTAGAAGTCAAGAACTACCTTCTCACACCCCAGAAGTATTTTGTAGGCCTCGCTGTCACATACAAGCTGCCCACAGTGTCTGGCTAACAGTGTTGATCACAGTGCTTCCAGGAAGTTCTTTTCCCCTGTGGGTTTGTGTGATCTCAGTGCAGATATTTTGACTTTTCTGTAAGGAAACATTTACTTGTCTATAAATGAGGTAACTGAGCGAGATGATCTCAAAGGTCCCTTCTGGCTCATAAAATGGGGCAGCAAGTAGAAGGGAGGGTAGAAGAGGGAAGGTTGGGCAGTACTTGGTAATTGTTGAAGCTGGGGGGTAAGAATGGGAACCCCTTGGATACCTCTGTTTTTATATGACTGCCATTTTCCATACTGAAAAGTTTGTGGGGTATTTTGTTGTTTGGGGGGCGGGGGTGTTCTGAGTCTTTTTTGAGTCACTTCTTTATTACTTTCTGTAATCCCTCCTGTTAGTGTTCCATGATCCTGACTCTTGGTCCTCATTTTCAGAGGGCTCCTCTCTTCTTAGTGCTTGACTATCCCCTGCATGGAAGCTTCTCCCATATATCTTCCTCAGAGAAGCCTTTCTTTCCACCTTTCTGTTCTATATTTCAGCTCCTTATAGGGCAATTCTATTTTGATTCCCGAGTCCCACCGTGTAGGAGACAGGCTGCATATGACCCTCTTGTCCCAGGAGTGGGAACTAATAGCTTAGTTTCTAAAATTGAGCATACCTTCAGAGAAATCTGCTCCATGTGAATCTATGAAAGACCCCACTCCGAGGTTTGATGGGCAAAGCTGGCAGTTAGGGTCATTAGGGTTGTTAGGTGCCTTAGTAGTTACTTCCGAGTTTGCTTATAAAAGCCCAGATTATTTTCATTTCCATTAACTAAGCTTCAGGAACTTTCAAGCCACTGGTCTCCTTAGCTAATTTAAAAAGCCCCGCAGACGCAGTCTAGTGTTAATAGTGCACAGTGGTGTTAGGATCATCTCTCTAGATTTTTAATGTAAGCCCTGGATATCTTAAAGTGTACATGTGCGTACCCAGGCCTGAAATAGCTTTCCTTTTCTAGGTTTTTGTTCAGGAACACGTGACACACTTTGACTAGACCAAGTGCTGGCATCATTTACAAATAGGGTTTTCCAAGCTGTGTCCCCACCCCCTCCCCCTCCCCCACAGTGCTTGTTGTTACTGCCATTCTGCAGAATTTCAGCTTGGCCTACCTAATCTTGGAAGAGTTTCCCAAGTGGTTCCCAGGCAAACACGTCTCCATCCATTTGAAAGTGAGCGTGTCATAATTGTGGTTTGAGGATGTGGTTTCGGTGCCAGTTGGCTCCCCTCTACTGTGAGATAATGGCCTTGTATTTCCAGAGGCAGCTTATTCTCACAGTTCAGGAAGGCTGTGTGGGCTTGTCAGTCACCAAACATCATTTCACTTTATTATCTGGCAAGTGTCCTGTAGCTGTGGCAGCAGAGGTGACTAAAGGAGAGACTGCCATCAAAGATCTAAACTATGTTGACGGTGTTTTCTTTCCTTGGGGAGACGGATGCAGTGCCTACTCCCTCATCATAAGGTCCTAATGAAAAACCAAATTATGATTCCACCAGCGTTCAACCTAGGGACCCAGTGTGTTTATTGGGTTGCTTGTAGAGCATGGCTGAGGGGCTACTGGCAGGAGTGGGGGACCTCAAAGCAGCTGCACTTTCAAGTTTGTACCCAGTATGGAAGATGGCTTCTCCATAGCCACATGGAGTCCCTTCAGTGAACCTTTCCCAGCCTGTTACTCCAGCACCTCTAAGTCCCGAGGCCACAGTGCAATTAAGGTATAATTGCAAACAAATGGTTGTGAGGAGTGGCTGGAATCTCAGGTGAGAGTCCAAGCCCTCCCCAACCCTTCATCTATGAAGGAATGTCAACAACTAGCAAACTGAATCCTGATGCACTTTTGCAAGCAGGCAAAGCTGGTCTGGTGCAGATGGAGGCTGTTTTGTTTAGAGGACTGCATTCTACAACACGTGGGAACAGTGTGCATTAAGAAGTGCTGTCATGGGGCTGGAGAGATGGGTCAGCAGTTAGGAGCACCGACTGTTGTTCCAGAGGACCTGGGTTCAATTCTCAGCACCCACATGGCAGCTCACAACTGCCTGTAACTCTACCTCCAGGGGATCTGACATTCTCACACAGACATGCAGGGAAAACACCAGTGGACATGAAAAATAAATAAATCATTTTTTTTTAAAAAAGGAAGTGCTGTCTTCACATGCAGATCCACACAGCCAAACATCAGGCAGAACTAGGAGAATCCTCTGGAAGAGGGGAGGAAGGATTGTAGGAACCAGAGGGTCAAGGGCACCACAAGAACACAGTCCACAGAATCAACCAACCATGGCTCACAAGGGCTCACAAGAGACTAAACAATCAGGGAGCCTGTATGGGTCTGACCTAGGTCTTCTGCATATATATTATGGTTGTGTAGCTTGGTGTTCTTGTGGGACTCCTAGCAGTGTGAGCAGAGGCTGTCTCTGACTCTTTTGCCTGCTCTTGGGACCCTTTTCCTCTTACTTGGTTGCCTCATCCAGCCTTATATGAGGGGATGTGCCTCATCTTAATGTAACTTGTTATGCCATGTTTGGTTGCTATCTCTGGGAGGCCTGCTCTTTTCTGAAGGGAAACAGTGGGGGAGTGGATATGGGGGAAAGGGGAAGTGAGGGGGAGGCACTAGGAGGAGAAGGAGGGGGAAACTGTGGTCAGGATGTAATATATGAGAGAAGACTAAATAAAAAATTAAAAAATAATAAAAAAGTGTCATCATAAAACATAACATAACATGATAGAATAGCGAAAGAGACTGAACATTTGATGGGTAAAGAGTAGATTGCATACAAGGAAACAGTGGAAATAAAGTTGATCCAGGTGTGTGTAGTGTGCTTAGTTGGAAGGTCATAAGGCCGTATTGCTGTGATAAAGTAGATGTGCACCTTTGTGTTAGAAATATATGCTGGGTGTGGTGGTTTGAATGTAGGCACAGGCATTTGAACACTGGGTCCCAAGAGGTGGTGCTGTTTGGGGAGGCCTGAGGGGTGCAACCTGTGAAACATGGCTTGGGAAAGAGGAGGTGCATGAAGCAGGGCGGCTGTCTTCACTCTGACTGCTTGACTCTGCTCCAATCTGAGCTCACAGAGTCTTTGAGTAGGAATAGAAAGAGAGGGCGGGTGTGACCTGCATGTCTTACTGTCTTACCTTGAGTCTGTTTTCCTGCCCATGTAACCCCAGGCAGGAGGCCTTCTCAATCCTAATACTTTGTCAGCTTCCAGAGCCCTGTAGGTTTGGTAGGTTCTTGAGTATTACAAGCCTTCCTCTAGGAGGGAATTCTTAAATTCAATGAAAAAACTACACAATACATAGAAAATTGAAGCACACTAGGAAACTAAGAAGCAGAAAACAGCACAGAGAAACTTTAGGTTGTGGAAGCCATGAGAGGAGCCACTCTAAAAAAGATCAGTTGGGGACCTAGAGGGTAAGTGAGGGAGATCTGCAGTGTCTGTGCTGTCCCATGCTGGACAAGGATGATGCCTGAGACAAGCTCTGAATTTGTTGATTTGAGAGGTTTAATAAAGTGATTAAAATTCAAATTTGGATGCAACAGAGAAGCAGCTTATTCCTAACTGGGTTGACAGTCATATTTTACTGGGAGTCATTTTCCCTTCCTTGTAGTTATCTTAACTATACAAAGGAAATGTAAACCTTCATTTGAGTTTACCAGCGTTCAGTGAGAAAAGATGGGCACTGCCTTTTCTACTTTATGAAAAGTGAACTCATTGCGTCGTGTTTTCTTCTCAGAAACATCTACAGTGTGGTAGTCTCCTGAATTCTTGTAACTAGAGTGATGTGGAAGTGATGTTTTCTATCCCTGACCTAAGCCTAGTGCTGATGTGTGCCATTTATTCCCAGGTTGGAATCAGGTGGTTTGGAGACCAGCCCCACACAGCAGCATCTTGCTTGGCTTTGATGTAGGTGCTATCGAGTGAGCAGCCGCCATTTCAACACGCCTTCTTCTTTGTCTCCGTGTCACAGGCTCGGTGGGAGGATGTGTCTGGTATCTAGAGAGAAGAGCTCTACGGGATTTGCCCCACAGGGTCACGCATCTGTTCAGGAGTGTCAACCATCAGTGGGTCGTGGTCCAGCACTGGAGCTTCCTCAAGCGCATGGTAAGTAGACGCCTTCCTTCACTGGCTCTGCACCTCAGCTTTTCTCTGGGTGAGGGAATTGCGGAGATTCCTGTCAGAAGAAAAGTTTTAGGAAGTACTCTTTGAAAGGGGTCTTTTATTTAGTGTTCTCTTAAGTTTATCCAAAAACTTTAATCTCTTGTTTTGATTATTCTTAACTGAAACCAGAATAATTCTGAGATTTGAGGTTAAATAGGTGATCTTGAATTTATTAAGTTTGGAGAAAGATGGAAAACTTATGACATATTTCGACTAGGCTAAAATTAGGAAAAGCTGAACTTGTGTGATGCATCTTTATACATTCTTTGAAGTTATGTGAATATGTCCGTAAGACAGAAGTTCTTGTTTAACAGTGTGATCCTCTTATTTCCTTCGACCACTGGTGCATTTGAAAGGTCTTTAAAAATACTTCTGAGGGACTGGAGAATGGCTCAGTCAGTAAAGCGCTTCCTTTGCCACCATGAGGATCTGAGTTCGATCCTCACAGCCAACATAAAAGAGCTGGTGTGGTAGTGAGCGCTTGTTACCTCAGTTCCAATGAGGCAAACAGGAGCCCTGGGGTCTGCTGGCCAGCCAGCTCAGCCCATTTGATGAGCCCCACAACCCAGCAAGAGACTGTCTCAGAAAATAAGATGGACTGGGCTGGAGAGATGGCTCAGAAGTTAAGAGCACTGGCTATATTTCCAGAGGTCCTGAGTTCAATTCCCAGCAACTACATGGTGACTTAGAACCATCTATAATGAGATCTGATGCCCTCTTCTGACATGCAGCTATACATGCATACAGAACACTCACTGTATATATAATAAATAAATAAATAAATCTTAAAAAAAAAAAAAAAAGATGTATGGCTCCTGAGGAGAGACACTGAAGACTGACCTATGACTTGTGTTTGTACCCTCACTACATGTGAACACACACACACACACACCTGAGCAGACTAAAGATTTTGTAGCTTTCCAGTGCTTTTGCAGTGGCCCCGATTGTCTAGTTTTCTTATAGGCCTGTATCTATGTTGATACACCATGAGATTGTGGCAACGTGATGACTCGATCTTCTAGAAAAGGGTCGTAGAATAGTAATACAGCTGGAAATTCCTAGTGCTGCTCTGGAAGACTAGCAAATCATAGTCCAGTGTGATTTAGAACCATCTCACCCTTTCATTAAAACACCCGCTTTAACTTAGAATTTAATTAATGTAAAATCTTACTAAAATTCAGTGTATTGGTTTTGTCAATTTTAGAAGTTTGGTGTCCTCATCTATCAATAAAACAGTTATAAATAATGTTCTGTCTTTAAATACTGTTGTGAAGGTTAACTGAAATATATATTAATATGAAAAATAAGGGCCCTCATAACGTTACTAGTAATTACTAGTTCTTGTCCATCAGTGACAGGGGCTGACTCTAACATGTGTTCTTTCCTCAGCCCACACTGCCACATGACTGCAGCTCGACTAGCCCTGTAGCCTTCCAGTGAGCTCCCCTCAAGGCTGTTTGTCTAAGAGCTCAGGTAGTCAATAGCTGACCTTGGCTATCTGTGGACAGTTTTGTGGTAGTTAGATTAGAAAGTCCAGCCTTCAGGAAGGTCAGTGAACGACAGTATCTTCTTTGCAGGAACTTAGATTCCTAGATTTTTCTAGACCACAAATTTAAAAGCATAGCCCGTGCATTGATTTTTCCTCCATATCTTTCAGTGCCAATGTCGTGTTTAGTAACACGTGCTGTTTGTCTGTCCATCTAGTATGTCACACAGCTGCACAGAGGCCTTAGCCAGCGAGTCAAACCTAAGCCAGAACCTGCGGCTTCTCCGTTCCTTGAACACACGTCCTCAGGGCAGGCCAGGGCAGAGGTGGACGAGCTGCCATCTCTCTCAGCACCCAGCCTGCCACTGTCCCCGAAGCCAAATGAGGAGCTGATGGCGCTGGAGGCCGCCTCCGTAGTGGAGCGTTCTCTAGACACGGCCAAAGAGACAAAGGAAGAAAAGCAGTGGAAAGAGATGAAGCTTCACACTGACGATCTGCCCGGCATTTTGGCTCGACTGTCCAAGATCAAACTCACAGGTACCTTGTTTTCTGAGACTGCTTTGTATTTCTACTGAGCTGTATGTATTACCTCCCTCAAACGTTGAAATTCAAGATTTTCCTTTCCTCTTATTAGGATTCCCACTGGGATATTCTGAATTCTGCTTCTACAGAATTGTGGATGGTGTTACATTGTAACCTTTATGCAAAATTGATCTCATGTGAATTAAAGTAGATTTTTATCCTGCCTATTTCCTTATGCTTATTATGTTTATAGCCACCATGCTTTTAAAATGCAGTACCTGAGTTCAGGAAACTGCACTGCGCTACATAGTCTAAGTCCACAATGACCATGGAGACTTCAGCTACTCTGTGTCTGTCCCCTGTTCTGTCCCTCTGGGGTTATCCTGTGTGTGCAGGGCTCTGGACTAGATTGCTCCAAGGATATTTGGAAGTGTTTCTCCTTCTAATTCTAGTATTAGATCAATCTTTTTGCATCCAGTTGGGTATTAGGCCATAATAGTGATGTTTATTGTATGGACTGCCCCGTGAGCATCCGATGCTAGAGTTAGACACAGCTGTGTGACAGCTGGTGTAAGAGTGTTCTGGTTCCCCTGCAAACTGAAGACCTGCACCCTGTTCTTGGGTGGAAGTGAAGGGACAGTATGGCAAGCTGTGATCAGGCTAACCCAGGTGCCCTTTGAAGACAAAAAGTGGCAAATAGAGTCTCACCAGATGAACAGAAATAAAGACTCTAAGCATAGAGATGGATGGCGGAAAGAATGATTTCATTTCTCCCTAAAGGTACAGACACCAAAAATCTAGGGTGAAGGATGTGAACTAGACAACTTCTTTCCTTAGTGACCAAATCCTCTTAAAGGAAATTCTCTTTTTGTGGGAGTGGGTGGGGTGTCGAATGGACATAGTGAGTGTGGTAGAGTCTAGCAAGAATTCTGTGGTGTAACTAACAGCACGAGTCTAATTCTGCGTGGAGACATGCTCCGGCTAAGCAAGAGCTCACCACATCTCTGAAGCCTTGTGATTTTTGCAAGAGGTCTGGGCGTCATGCTATTAAGAACAAGTATCAGTAAGTTATAGCCATACAGATGTCACCTAAGAGTGGGTCCTTTCAGGAGGTCACCTCAGAAGTGGCCCCTGTCAGCAGCAGGCTCTTCTTTGTGCGCTGTCATGGAACACGTCTGGTCTGCTGATGGGTCCACTTCTCTTATCATCCTGTCCCTGTCAGGAACAGTAGAGGATTCTGTCCTCAGGGAGAGGCCAGTCTCTTTCAGCACTAGTCAAGCATCTGAGTGTAAGCAAGAGACTCTTCTGCAGTGCCTCTAAAATGTGCTTCCCCTCTAAAACTGCTATTCTGATTCAGGCTGAGCACATCCAGGGCCACCGCTTTTTGAGATTTGTTTATTTCTCATTTTATGTCTATAGGTGTTTCACCTGTGTGGACGTCTGTGTGCCACTTGCATGCCTGGTGTTCACAGGCCAGAAGAGGGTGGCAGAACCCATGCACCTGGAGTCACAGAGGGTTGTGAGCAGCCTTATGGGTGCTGGGAACTGAACCATGGTCCTCTGGAAAAGCAGCCAGTACTCTTAACCACTGAGCCATCTCTCCAGCCCCCTGTTATTTATTTGTTTATTTATTTATTTATTTAGTTAGTTAGTTTGTTTGTTTGCAGCTCCGATTTGTCCCTTTGTCTTCCTCCACCTCCACTGCAGTTCATGTCACTCAGAGCTGCCAGATACTTTCCCTAGATACCACCCCTAGTTGTTGTTTTCCTAACCTACACAATCGGCCGTTGTGTCTACCTATTACCCTCTGCCCCGACTCGGCCTGCTTCTAAGGCAATGTACTATAGTGACAGCCCGTTCTTGCCTCTCAGCTTACCTGTTCCCTGCTACCATGGGAGACTGACCTGCCCATCTCACTTCTAGTCAGATCTTCCGGGTCTCTCCAGGAAGCCTGCATGGGGTTCCCGTCTTGAGAGCCTCGCTGGACATTTACTCACCAGTGAAGTCTCAGGTGGTTTTTCTTCACCTTTTTGAGATAGTTTACACGTCTGTAAGGGAGGAAATACAATAAATACATCATTTCAGAATTTTAATTGTATAATGTATTACAGCCACCCAGCAATGTTCCTTACAAATGGGAGGTGCTGAAAGGTGGGTTTGCAAAGAGTTATGGGTAAATATTTAAGCGTCTACTGGCTAGGTGTTGTGTTTCCAGCGGGTTTGTTTCTGTCCATGCAGATTGCATAGGTGGGTAAGGGTTTACTAGGCAGGGAGATGACGGGGACCACAAGCAGCAGCAGAAGCTGGAACAGGCCAAGAACCCTGCTGCATCCCGCACATTCAGAAAATTGAGATCTGACTCGGGTGTCGAGTAGGGGAGGTGCTGGAAGGGCTAGTGTTGTCATATGGGCACTTACTCTGTTGGAGAGTTGCACTGTTAAACCACAGTGGTAACAAGTTCTAGAAGGTTTCTTAGAGAAAGATGGTCACTTTGTGATTTCTTTCTGCTTTAAGTATCTTAGTTGCCATTAAATCTGAAGGCTAAGTCAAAAACAAGCTTCAGAGAGTGCTGAGGTGTGCACCTTGAGCTAAAAGCTTGCCTTTGCAGCTCACTAGCTGCACAGAACAGTGGGTTTGTGAACTCAGACCATGTTCATGCACCTGTTACCCTCACCTGCACCCTTCTATGGTTTACCTCCAGTAGTTCTGCTTCTGTTCACATACAGTGTGTATCTAGATCTCATGAGCGAAAACGTGACATTTGTCTTTCTTAGTCTGGCTTATTTCAGTTAACACAATCTCTGGTTCCATCCATTTTCCTACAACAACAAGATTTCATTCTTCTTTATAGCTAAATAAGACTCCATTGTGTGTATACTTAGCACGTTTTCTTTATCTGCTTTTCTACTGATGGATACCTAGGCTGATGTAACTCAGCTGCTGTGAACTGTGTTATAGTAAGCTTCCCATTCCCAATTTTGGACTTTGGAAGTTGGACTGAGTATATTTTGTATTATGAGATGGCCATGAGCCTATGGGGCAAGGAATGTTATGGTTTAGATGTGAAATGATTCCCATAAGCTCATTTATTTCAATCATTTGTCCCCAGCCAGTGGCACGACTTGGGAGGTTATGGGACCTTTGGGAGGTGGACCTCGCTGAAGGAAGGGGGTTGCTGTGGATGGGCGCTGGGTTACAGCCTCGCCTGTTATAGCTGGAGTCCTCTCTGCTTGCTGACTAGCCCTAGGATGTAATCAAGCTGCCTCTGGCTCCTGCACTGTTACTTCCATCATGAACACTGCCCTGCCTTTTTAGCCACAACACTGTGAGCTAAAAGAACCCCCGAAACGGAACAAAGCAGCTTCTCTGCCCGAAAGTGCTGTGCCCAGGATTCTGTCACTGACCTGAGCGCAGCAGCCCTTTGTCCCGTGTCCTCTTACCAGCAGCCATGCTCATTGAAAGTGTCTCTGTTACATTCCTTGGTTAGTGTTTGTGACACTTTGTTTCTTTTACTCTGTCCCACTTACCTTTTCCCGTTGGTGAGTTCGGATGGGTCCTGTCTTACTCGTAGTTAGGAAGGCCTGACTACCACATGCCATAAAGTCCTAGTTCAAGGCTCTTGTGATAGGCGTATATGTTTGTTCAGTCTGTAAGGATTTAGTGTCATCTAGTATCAATTTCACTAGAAATGGAGTAAGGTGACATGGCTCACAGTCCTGTTGAGCCGCGTTCTCCTGTATCCTTAAATTTATTGGCACCCAGTTGCACCTTTAATCTCAGTACTTGAGAAGCTGAGGCTGACTGATCTCTGAGATCAAGGTTGGCCAGGGCTGTACAGTGAGACCCTTTCTAAAGGAAGGGAAAAAGAAAGAAAGAGGGATGAGGGAAAGATGAGTTTGATCTTGGCAAATTCTTTGGGTAAATCGCTTCAAAGGACAGGGGTCCGATGGAATTCTATTCTGGAAGACCTGGGGTTCTTCAGATGGAGTTAGCAGTGTGGTCACAGAAAAGAACAGGTGTTGGGGGTGGTAGGTAAAGTGAGCAGAGCAGAGGGCCCAGGACAGAATTCCTTAAGCTCATTCCTTCTAGTTCTTACGAAATGCCTGTAATAATCCTGTGAGGAAACAGATGGTCCAGGAGTGGGAAACAAGAAAGGACTGTCACAGGCAGAGATGCAGACCCCTCTCCACAGGAAGGACTTGGACCACACTGCAGATGCAGGAGGACCACTCAGAAGCCTGCCTGGAAAGGTACAGGAAGTTGGTGCCCACTACCTGGAAGTCAGGAAATGGCAGGCAGAGTTTCTTCTCAATGCTTCCAGGAGCTGCTTTGAGTAATATACTTCAATTTGTAAAGTTTATCTGATGAGTATTTCATTAGTAACAAATAAAGGGTGACTAATTTAAGGTCAGGATTTTTTTGCTACAACTTTTTTTATTTTGGCTATTGTACTGTTTTTCCTTTTATGTGGCTTATGTGGTTGTATATCTGAGTTGGCATTCCAGATACAGCATGATTTAATATGTAAAAGCTGAGTCTGGAATCTAAAGCAGGTAGTAATAATTTAATATCTTAATTATTCTTCGGTGTGCATGGATGCGCTGACTCCTGTGTGTCAAAGGGTAAAGAACACTGATGGCATGGTAGTTAAAATGGTGCTTCCTTGCCACTGTGTCGGGGACTAGATTCTCTGGGTCCAGGACACGACTCAGAGATCTGAATGTTTGATATGTAATACCGGGTGATCAGAACATATCTCAGAAACCTGACGGAGTCAGGACCCAGACATCAAACTCGTTCCCAGACATGTTGCTCTGGCTGGTGCTGGGGAGAGCTTGCTTACTGAGAGCCAGAGCTGGCGGGTAGGACAGCTGGCCGCAGGAAAGGCAGCTGGGCAGAACCTGGACCACACAGGAGAGGTATGCAAAAGCAAGATGTTCCAAGGAACGGGGACTACCTCCTCCTCACCTACAGCCACAGATGGAAGAGACCTGGGGTCGTAAATTTCCCCCATATGATTTTATTTATCCCATGTGACTAATTGAATTAAAGCCATTTCCTTCTGCTTATTTCATCTAAAGAAGTAGCACCGTTTAGTGACCCTTAGCCCTCTCATCTGACTGACCTTGTACTTTCCTCTTTAGTTTATTACTTGAATTCATACAGCCTGGAGTCAGCAGGAATATTTCTTTAAGGAGATCCCTGATATATGTAAATTGATTTCTCTTGGACTTTTAACATCTTCGACAATTCATTTCTAGCTAATGGCAGCTGAGGCAGGAATTTTTGAGGGCCAGCAGTCACATTATAGAACGAGTCTTTTCTGTGCTTCACTAGAGCTATATGCCAAGGAAGGGCTGTATACTGATCAGACTTCAGATTTCCTTTGTAGGAGGGCAGACTAGCTGCAGCCCAGATCCTAGGCACTTCTACCAGGACGTGGGCCAAACCCTTGCTGGTGTGAATGTCATTTGAAAACGTGTGTGTGTGTGTGTGTGTGTGTGTGTGTGTGTGTGTGTGTGTGTGTGTGTGTAAAACTGAGTTTATAAAGGAGTAATAGGCCTCCCTTGAGCCCCCTGCCAGCTGAGCTATTTACAATAATGTTTTTGCAGTTTGTTGCAGGGACCACACCAGGGTGAGGAAATTTTATTTGGATTAGGATCATAAGAGGCTGTAGTGACTCAACTGGGTTTAGACTGAATATAGGTCAATAAAAAGCAGGACTTTCCTGATGAACATCTGTGCTGAAAAGTTACATTTCCCAAGGCCAGCACACTAAATAGATTGTTTATTGGAACCAATAGCTCAAGCTGTTGCTAGAGCTGATTGAGACCACAGTGGGTAGACCTTCCCCACAGTCCCTAACGCTGCTTTTTATTCAAAGAAGAGTAGAAACAGGGCACTGGCTCATTTTAGATGGTTTTGTGTGGCTTACTGGGGTCTCTGGTGTTAGTTGTACCAAGCAACTCCCATGCTCTCACAGACATCCTACTTGCAGAGTTAGAGGATCTCTTGAGGTTTACACTTTGAATAATGGGTAATAATACTTCCTAACCCTTTCTGTAGTATTTTAAGTTATGTAACTATCAAGTATTTATTTTAAGAAAACACAAATAGGTTTAAAAAAAAAAGAAGATTGAAATGCTTTTATAATTTTACCATGTCAAAATAACTCATTTTATAGATTTTGGTAAATTAGCTCATAGAATTTAATATCATACTCATCTTTTTGTATGAGACTTACTTTGATTTTGGTGACTTAAGTTGTTATTTGTTGTGTTTTAGTTTTCTTAAGACAAAAATCTAAAATAAGAGGGCTGGTCAAATGGCTCAGGTGTTAAGAGCACTTGCTGCTGTTTCAGAGGACCTGAGACCAAATCCTAGAACCCACACTGGGTAGCTCCCAACTGCCTACATGTAGCTCCAGTTCTAAGGGGTCAGTCAATGTTCTCTTCTGGCCTCTGTTGGCACCAG